TATTCAAACATTTGATAAAAACAGCTGCTTTGGATGTGAAATGAATCGGCCTGTTAGCTGCAAACCCGACAGAAGCTTTTTGTATTTTCAGTAAACTCCCTGGTACTTGTGGTGGATTGAGCTTTACTTGGCTGGCCATACAGAGCAGGAGTGATAAAGACTTGCTGGCCTCTCCCAGATCCTGTTACATTCTCAGGGACACACAAGCTGCTCTCTGTTAAGAAGCAACCCTTGCTGTTGTAAGGTTAGACTGCAACAAAGGTAGCAGCTACTTTCTCTCACCTCACAGTCAGAGACGAAGGAAACTAACAGCTTATTAGAGGAGGAGGCTTTCCTGCGTGGCATGGCATGCGTCTTTAAAAAGGAATAAAGAACGGCATTACTCATTTTGGATGTTCTTAAGTTTTTCTTCAAAGAAAGCACTTTTCGTCCTTATTTGCTCAACAGTTCTTCACCAGAACTTAACTTCTAGAAAGATTCAACTTTACGCTAACCAGTTTTTATATTTGTCTGCACTGTGTGGGGTGAAAATCTGAGCTGTCAATGTATTTTACCAGTAATGCTAAGAGGGTACTTCCTCCTACTGCAGAGTTTTTACTGATCTTAAAACTTGGAGGTAAAGTATTAGTCCTATGCCCCCATGCAATTAGCATAAATGTGTGCCCTAAAGAACTACTGTACCCAGGATATTCAAATGTTTATTGCCTTTTTATCCTCAATTCATGCAGCAGAACGTCTCCTGAAAGCAGAAGGGTAACAATACCCTCACACATGTGTAAAATACCACACTGAGATAGCAAAGCTAAGCTAGCTCTAATGTAAGAAGTTCATAAAAGCTCGGAGATGTACTTTATGGTTAGTGCTCAAGAGAAGGGAACATGTTGTGCAGGGACAGACTAATTTGTTGATTTAATGTAACGTCACATAACCTCTCGGGCATTTGCAGACTTTTATGAGCTCTCACCAACATTATGGCCTGAAATCATTTGAAAAGTACCGAGGAGATGCAACAACAGCTTTTCTAAGATCAATGCTAAAGGTTTCTATTTCTGGCATTAAAATCAACACACTGTTAAAAGCTGCCAGTATGGAGGTGCGAATAGAAAAATTCTTTAATTGGCTACTTTAGTGAGAGTGTAAATAGTTGACAGAAAAGTGCTTAATTAAGATTTTCATGTCATAAAAAGCTAACATCAAAAAACAAATTTTCAGCATTTTTTGGAATATTTTCTGTCAACACTTTGCGTCTACATGAAATTAATGACGGGTGGTGCTGTGCTTTGATCAACCAACGTAAGCATGTGTGATTTATTTAGGAAGCTATCAAATATAAAGCTCCTCTCTTTTTGAAACTGGCTTTTTTATCAGTCTTATTGAAGACAGAGGGAGGACACATGTTAATTAGCAGCCACAGCCACTGCTTTGTTAAACAAAGAACTCCAATTTTCTCCCAATTTATTATTTTCCCCAGCCCACATATTTCTGCTCCCTGTGTAGGATGCGCTTCTGGAAGCGTAATCGGAATGGGAATAACAGCGAGCATTTCCTGCCGCGGAGTGCGTTTGCGTCGTTTGCCCGTCTTCATGTGGCGAACGCATGAATCACAACAGAGCCGGAGCAGCCGGTGGGCAGGGTGGCGGGAGTTCATGTGAGGTCAGGCGAGATTTTCACACACTGTGACAAGCCAGTGAACACACTAGTGCATTCCAAAGCGCGATGGTGCTCAGGCAGAAATTCGGATGTTGCTCAAAAATAATACGTGATGACTTGAGCCTCTGGAGACGAAGCTCCAGAAGACAGAAGATCGATATAAAGAGATGTAAACAAAGCAAGCCTTTTCATGTGGAGCTCATTTCAGGTTCATCTGTTGGTAATAACGGTGCCCAAGTCTGGCGGCAGTCAGCTGAGACACAGGACCCTCGAGAGGCACAATAAAAGCACTTCTGAAGCTTTCTGTCGACATGCCATCATAAGTCAAACCTCTCATCTCGCTCCAGTGAGTGTGGTCCTTTTCTTTAATTTGCATAAATAAATGAATGCTGCTACAGCAGCTCCTAAGTGAAATCAGAGAGAAGCAGATGGTGACAACAGAGCAGGGGAAAGAAAAAAAAGCTCCAGTCTCTTAGTTTCTAATTTGTCTATTTTTTTTTTATTTCAGCAGCCTTTTCTATGCCTAATATCTGTTTTTATTGGAAGGAATGGGTAATCATTTTCTCTTTCTTTCTATCTATACTATTTTTGCTGCTTTGTAATTTAATATTTGGGATATTTGACAAATCGGGAGAGTGTTAGCTTGGCAGATGTGAATAATTAGGGATAATCTACAATACGATTTTTATTCAGCTCAAGAATGAATTGGGTAAGTCAGCAATTTGTAATCTTTGCCATATGGTTAAAAATAAAGAGAAAACAAGAAAGGTGTGAGAGGGTCCAAACTGGAAAATGGAGTCTGTATCTTTTCTTCCTAAATGACACTTTGGACACCAGGACAGTTTATGTCAAACTGACTTGTTGCAGAAAAAAAGAGATTTTCCTTTTAACTGTTGCAGTTTCATCTTATGAAGTCAGCAGTCAGAGCGCTATATATAATATAAATGAGATGCAATGTTTTTGTTTTTCAACCATATTTTTAAATATCTATGCCTATATCTATATCTGTGCTTTTTCTGACACTGGTGGCTTCTATTTGCAGAAGAAAAGAAATAAATAGGCAGAGAAAAAAGGGGAGAGACAAGTAGCGAAGTTCCTACTATCAGATCTGATTGAAGGCCCCACTTCTATGTGCTGCTGCTGCTGATGATGGTGTCTTTGGTCTGTTAACTAAAAAACTGAATAATCACAGGACTCTGTCAAAGTCCCTGATTTAGGCCTGTGGCCGAGAAACTGATGAGTTGTTCAAGGGAAAGTCATGTGAAGATAAACATTGTCCGTGCTCCTCAGCTGCCAAACAAATCTGTTCCAGTTCTGTTTCCAAATGACTGACTGAAGCTCTGCACTCCTCATTAGTGTGCCTCTGATGAAAGCTAAAAGCTGTAGCATGGAATTGACAATGATGTTAAGAAGGAGACTCATTCTTTTACGGTACTTGTTACTCCTGCAATACAAGTGTGAAGTTCAGCAAAGCTGGATGATGTGCACCTATGTGACAACCAGTGAGAGTATTAGGGTAAGATATTGATGGAAGATGAGTGAAGTGGTTTATTGTGCCTCTGTATCTACTGGAAGTAATGATTCTAGGTCTTCTAGAGAAATCACAATCTTGAAAAAAAAAAAGCAGAAATGAAATAAGTTAAGCTTACCTTCAAAATATCTTAAGTTACTGTGATATTTGTGCATCTTCTAGTGTCTTAAATTTCACTGTTTCACCTTTCTAATATGTAATATTGTACAACTAATAGGACCCACTTCAAAAGGAAAATGTGTAAAGGGGTCAGTCTCTCCAGTAATCCTCTCACAACCTTCATTTTAACATGATTTTTAAGAAGTGTGAAGGAGACGTTTAAAAAAAAAAAATGAAAGTGTGACATATGTGTCTCACTCACATCTGTTTTTGACCTCACATAATCTCTCTGTGTCCGTCCTTCTTTCCTAATCCTTCCTATAGCCTTCTGCTGAGCCGGCACCCAAAGGAAAAATCTCTCAGCCTTTGCTTTGACTCTTTTGAAATTGCCTTCATCTTCAACAATCTCCTCAAAAGCCCCCCTTTTCTTCCCCCTCCTCCTCTCATGAACTCCTGAGACACTGTCTCATCGGTGCTCCCATTTCAATGGGTCCACAACTGCTTCATCTCCTAGTAATGGATTTCCAATGCTTCGACAGTGAAACATGTCACATGGTCATGCCTTCTCTCTTGCAGTATCTCTCTGTAAGCTGTTTAGAAATGCATGAATCTTCTCATTCCCTCAAACTTCCCTTTCACAAAGTGCTTTCCGATCAACCTCCACTCACCTCACTTTCATGCAGAGTCAACCTTATAAAGCTGCTGCCATCCAGACTCAACCTATGAATGCAACATCCAAAAGCTTTCTGCAACTTCATTTTTTGGGAGGTGGGGATTAAGTGTTGTGAATTGTCATGCTACGCCTCAACAAAATGGGTTTGTATAGGTTTATGGTACTTACCATCTACACACAAAGCTATGGACATAATGGGAAGATTCAAAATGTATTTATTTTTTTCATTATGCACTCCAGGACGTCACAATCTTTAGTTTCATTTCAACACCACCACCAGCAGAGTAGCGCTATTTCCTGATTTAAACCAGGAGCTCCTTGTTGAATATCAGTTATTCCATCCGCTTGAACCTATTTGAGTCTCACCTTCTTATAACTCTTTGCTAGATATAGATGCAGATCGTGTGTGATTCATGGTCAGACTGACACCTACACATGAAATTCATTTTCTCTGCAAAAATAACCATGTCAACAATGTGGTTTCACAGGGAGACATTGGAAAAAAGTTCTAATCTCTACACCATCATCACTGTAACAGTTGCACCCCTGATAAAGAAGTCTGCAAAAGTCTTAAAATAAGTGGTTGTTATGGCGACTGTGCAACTTGAAGATGCCATTTTTTGCTTCAGTTTGTAAGGGGGAGCTTTGGAGAGCTACTCACTGGCAAGATATATTGAGATTTTCATGTACCTTTGTTTTTTAAAAAAAAAAAAAAGATTTAATTGTTTTTAAGTTTTTAATTAATGCTCTATAATAGAAGTTTATGTTGGTACCTATTTTCCCACACTAATAAAATGACATTTTCACTTGTCTTTCTTATTTTGTCCTTCAGAAAAGAAGAACAATTACTTCTCAATAGATGTAATCAAACTGCTTGTTTTTTCTAAAACTTTCATTGTGCAGCCATCTTACTACACTGAAGGATTGGTCAATTTTGAAGGCTTTTTACAAAGGGTTTTTTGGGGTTGTTTTTCTGGCTTTATTTAGTAGTTTAGTGCAAAACAAAAATACACAGACATGGTAAACAACATAAATCATTTATCTTACCTTTGGTGTTTTAGTGCACTTTCCATTTCTGGCATCTTTTATGTACGTAATATCCAGCAGGTCTGTATCCTGAAAAGCAGCAGAAAACAGATTTATACTTTAAATACGGATTTTTAAAGGTTTCAAAGCTGTTTTAGAGTCAAAGGAAAATGTAATATGTATTAAAGATACTATGGATGGTTGAAATGATTTGAGGAACCCTTCTCAAATTCACCAACCACCTGTGCATGGTGTCCGTGATATGAGTGTGTCCGTGCATAAGTAAAGAAGGCGGCTGTATTAATCACATAGCTTCGAAATCCTAGGACATATGACAGGAATTCAGTGAAGACAGACACTGCTCAGCAAATGCATAAAACAAAAATAGAATAAGCTTCCCAAGTTCTGCAAATACTCCCAAGTGCAGATACAATGACGTGCAATAAATATTCCCGTTAACTATGCAGAAATATAGATAGATGCAAAATATTTTAAACAAACAATGCTCAGCTGCATGAGGCTTTGATGTAGCAACAGCTTGGTTGGACTCAGCTGTGCGAGTGGTTGTTGACACTCGAACCTTAACGAAGTCCGCTTTAAACATAAACCATAAGATGAAATTAAGAAAGGTCACTCATGGTCCCATCTTGGGCCCTCTGAAGCCTCGCTCTTTCATCTCTCAGAGTTTCTTAAGGACCCTTCTCACACAGCTTTTCAAAGAAACAAACCCTGGTCCACTGCAGTAGTTAAGAGTTAAATAACTTCCATATTATTTAAAAATAACTTTTTAAGCAGTGTGTCTCTTGTTTTGATCTACACAACTTTTTTTCTCCAATACATTTTTAGCTGACGACCAGTCAGGGTTCCATTTTTCATCTCAACATTGACCCCACATGTAATTAAATTACATATTTTAAAGCAATGTACTAATAAAAGATAGTCTTACCATTCTCTCACATTAAATAAGACTAAATCTTTCCTGCCACTTTAGACCACTACTTGTTTTAAGTTTGGTCCTTAGCAACACTGGTGCACAATTTGTTGCACTGGGATAATGGTTTTGAACGAACTCGAGCTTTAACTTTAATTTGAAGACTATCCCTCCATAAATTAGCTACCAAGCTTTGAAAGAATAAATGTTAATATCTCTTTTAATGCACCATTGATCTATCTATTCAGCCATACTCTAAATTTGTTGGCATTTTTTCTGGCACTGAAAATACTCAAAGTGCAACCGCCCAGACTGCAGTGTGTACCTTCCTTCTGTAACCACTTCCTAAATCAGTCTGAATTATCATAGTCTCCATCTCTCCAAAAGGAAACCAGGACATGAGGTGGAAAATTAACCAGAGTCAACCATGAGTTCCCTTAGCATTATCTGACGAGTCAAGAGCCAATGGAGGGGCGCCTGACTCTATTTCAAGCCACAACATGTTTATCTGATCAACTGTGTGAGGTGGGTGGAAAATTGCACCTGACCATACTTCCTTATCTGCAGATGCATATATAGTGCGAGTCCTCAGCACATAAGTTCACGTTTCTATCTTTTTCACATATGAAAGTGCCTGGAAGATATGAAAAACACAAATAGTTGCAGGTATAACAAATGTCACTTAATCCTTTTTCTTGTTACAATATCACAAATATAATAAACCCTGAAGTAATAGTGAATAACTGCAAATTATTGTTTTTTTTTATCTGCACAACAGACATACAGAGGCAACAAGGTTTCTAAGGAAAAGTTTCCAGTTGGCCCATTTTAGATGCAGATATTTAAGATGATGTGAATATTTGCTTCAAATGATGCGATGTACAAGCTCTCCCTTTACTGCAGCATGTTTAGCATCAATTAATCTGTTCCCGTTTGACCAGAAAGAGCCTTTGAGTCAAAGGTTAACACCTACACTGGGCCTGCCTTTGAAGTCTCTTTAGAGAGATGAAGCTCCACAGGGGGTCTTGGTGCAACCGTGGAGCTTCAGGAAGTATCTTGCTGATAGAGTTGTTTTTTTTTTGTGCTTTCTAGCCCTGTAGAGTTAACACAGCCTTTAATCTGGCTAAACGTCATCTGTTAGCCTCTAAAGTTGACTTAAAAAAAACGGTAAACAGCCTGTATGGGTCACAAGCATCTTATGTGGGTGACCACAATTATATTCTTTGCACCATTTCCAGGATATCAAGCTCTGATTTTTGATTAAGGGTGTGAACTCTCACTGATGTCATTAAAAACTGAATCTTTTTACTTTGTAGTAGGGTAATTAAAGCCAAACTTGATTAAAATCAAACAAGTTCAAACTTTGCTTCTCAGAGATGGATTTATTATTATTTTGTTTTCCAATTTCTTGGACATGTGTTCTTTATGTTTTCATTGAATTCATCTCTATTCATCACTCTCCCTCTTGTGGCACGGTCTCTGATTTCCTTCCAGCTCTCTGGGCCTTTCTGTGTGCAACAAAAACTGTGAGCGCAGTTCGAAAGCCTATTAAGAACCACGGCACGTCCAAGAAGCGAAGCAAGGCCAGCGGGGAGAGAAACAACAGAAATTAATGAACATGCTTAACCTGCACTGGCCTTAGGCACTGTTCTCTACGCCTGTTTGTGTCTGCAGCGGTACGCACCGTTTGCAATGAGTTTCCTCCGAAAATGAAACGCACAACAAGTGGCAAGACCGTTTCCACTGACCCGTTTTGAGACATAACGTTCCTTCTATTTGAACTCTTTGTGTATGTTTTCTCTTCGTCGGCATGAATGTCATACTAATTTTTTAAACTTTAAAATACTGCATTTTTTTTTTTTTGTCTTTGAGGAAGGAACAAATTAATGAACAGACATGGACCTTTAATGCGCACAAGATTAAAATTTTCGGCTAAAATATGCACACACACAAATTACAGTGAAACCGTATACACTTTGTAGTCATTAACACAAGCCAGGCATGACTCACATTTAATTTTTTTTGTACTCTTCTCATCAGAATTTGCCAAGCTCATTAAATTGGTTGGTTTTCTGGCATAGACAAAGCTTTTAAGAAGGGCTGTGGTCAGTGCTATTCCAGAAACTTATTGTTATTACATTATCTATTCCAGAGACACTATTGACGTGCATATGAGGTCATTCTCATGCTGAAAAACACCCAAGTGTGTCCAAGCATGTAACCATAGCTGTCCCACATGGATGTCAAGCTGCCTCACTATACTGTACAACATTATGAACCGAGAGGGAGAACAAACCCTGGCTCCAACATCGACAGATTAAATCTTGATTAAATCTTAGTCTTAAAAGTTTCAGCTCTCTCCATGGACAAGCAGCTGCACTGCGGATGAAGGTGAGAGGAAAATTAAGCTATTTAACCACAATGAGAGGATGCAGGGCCACTGTATCATTTATCAAGCACGGTGGTGGCAGCATAATGCTACAGAACTGATTTGCTGCCAATGATGCTGGTGAATTGGGCAGAGCAAGGGAAATATTAAATTGAGAGGACTACCTCCAAATTTTCTAAAGTCAATTCAATTCAATAACTAGATTGTTGGAACTTGTCTACTGGAGCAAGGATCCCTAAAACATACACATACAGCAAAAGTTGTCAAATAGATATAATTAGATCAAAACAGACAGTTTCTTTACAATTTGCTGAAGAGTGTTGAACCAAACAGCAGTGAGGGCGTATGTTGATATTTGAGCTTAAATTAAACATTTTGAAATGAAATGAAATGAAATGAAATTTTATTCGAACATGATACAAATATAAAATAAAATAGTGCACAGTAACAAGAAGTGCATAAGAAAGAAGAGAAAATACAGATTTTTTTGTTTCAGTTAACATATCATGCTCAAAATTTTGACCTTGTTAAAAGTATTCATATTTTTTCTGAAAAACGAACCGAATCTAAAGAAATTTGGTGTAATTCATTTGTCTCCATGCAAAAACTACAGCCGATCACTTTACATAAATCTTGTCTGACAATATACAGTGGTCGTGCAAGCTTGATAGTTGGATGACAGAAGGTTTATCAGCCCTATGAAGCTAAAATTGTTCACAGCTTTACTGGTACAAGTGGTGAGTGCATGAACTGATGGTACAGAAAAGGGTAGAAAACGTCAAGAAAACATGGGGTGGAAGTCTAAGATTTAGAGAATTATACCAGAAAAGTAGGGAGGATGACATCTACAGGTCAGCTTGCTCATTTGCCAACAGCAAGCCTGACAGCCTGCAGGTTCAGAATGTGCTGAACAGAGATCTAAAGCTCTGCCGAGAAAAGAATCAGACAAGACACAAATGCAGCAAGGGCAGAAGGAAGGCAAAGGTGAAAATACGTACAGAAAATAAAGGGTTAGATGTCTGCTCCAGAGTCGGTGAGCCCAACAGTACACACAGCTGTCACACCGCCTGATGTCAAAACATAGCAAATCAATGTGCATCGCTTCAATTGCATTTCTAATTAAAAAACGTTATTATCCATCAGCTGATGAATGTTCAGGCCTTGAATTAAATAAATGCACTAACTACTTTATGCAAACTGGTATAACATGAAGAGGACCCCTAATGCCCTCATGCTGTGGCTAGGAACATAATAACTTGTAAATGAATTATTCAGACAGGGACTGCGTTACACAGGCAAGAATATATCCTACAACCATATTTCAATATAGATTCTTTTCACAGCTTCTTAGTCAAAAGGTCAAAAGATCCTTGCCATGGAAGTGACGCCCGTTATCATAAACAGAGCTATTACTTTTATATAACAAAAGACACTAAAGCTGTGCAGGTGCTGTGCCCATCTCTGTAAGTGGTCCTCCACTGACACTCAGCTGCCTGGAAACATCCTGTTATGAGGGGAAGTGGCTCATGGAGAGTTGTACTTGAACTTGTTTAAGAGTTGCATCCTCTCTGCTACACCACTCATAGGTTCCTATAGAAGTGGGCTTTGCAAACTTTATGGTCAGAGATCAAAATGTGATTTCTGGGTGAGGCTAAAAGTCCCAGAACCCTGGGGATGAGCAAATCTTTTTATTATATTTGTTTACAACTCACAAGCAAAGCAAAAATGATGCTTGCCTGAGTTGTTTAGTAGTGGCTCAAAGCTGCTCTT